GCAAAATTCCGAGGATGCTGCAATGACTGCCACCAAGCAGCAGAGTGTGACCGAACAGAAGACCCAAATGAACACATCAGTCTCGCAATGTATCTGGAATTTGCACCCGAGTTGGGTCCCGATATCCTTGGCTCTGCGACTATAGCACACCAAAAAGATGACCTAGCTGGAAAGCTGGATGCTGCAACCCGAAGAGAGATGTTCTGTGGTATCGGCTCCAGAGACGAGATACCTCGCATTTGCTTAAGAGAAGACGATGGGGTTACGGATAATGCCGGGGTTTCCTTTGATGTGGATAGCATTATAGCCTTCCCGAGTTGCCTTGCAGTTGCCAAGCAGGGCATTCGATGGTCTCCTACCCGGATGACTGTATCTGATCTTCAGTCTGATCTTCACCTCCGCTCAAGGCCAGTCACTTACTTCGATGAGACTGGAAGCCAACATCAAGTCCACCGACCTGTCCACCAGACTCCTCATTACACCTTCGGTCGTGTCGTTGGATTTGAGGACATATCTTTGTACTTCCTGTTTCCCAACCTATATCGAGAGGAGCAGAAGTGTAGCCGGCTTCGAGACGAAGACTTTCGGCTATGGATGGACGGCATTCTCCTCCCCGCAATATACAAATGCTACAGCAGCGCGCATGTCCAGCATTATCCATCGAGCTACGACCACAGTCGCTATAATTCTACTGCCCGCGGAGTGGAGACACTTGCTCAACGTATGCACCCAGTAGCACGGGAACAACAATTGATGTACTATCTCCCACCAGATGCACTGGCAGATGTTTGGGCCAATATCCTCGCCACTGTTCAAGAATCAGGGTTCCAACAGTTCCAGGATGTTACTATCCTCCTTCAAGCAAAGAACCTCAAGGTCCTTACAAAAGACATCACTTGGGAGAAAATGGTATCACGCTTTGAAGGGTATTGGGCTAAAGCTATTGACGAGAGCTATATCACGCCAGACCTCTATCTTGATATTGGGAAAGAAACTTGCCCTCGACAGGCATCTCAAGTTGTGCCTTGGAGCCAACTGGCGGCTGAGGCTATTGATGATCTGACGGACAAACGAGCTGAATCGCTACTATACAGGCGATGTTGCTTAGAGTCATATGCCTTCCAGGCCCAGGACGGGTCGACCGATGAAGCGAAGTAGAAGCAGGTCTTTTATCCCTTCAGTATGCTTCAAGATACTGGAAGCTTGACTATTGAGACTGGAAAGCGCTCTTTACGCCGCGCAGCTGGTCTTCTCTACTCTCAATTCTACCCCAGTGTCAAGGAAGTCTTTGCAGCGGGGAATGTATATCCATTTACGAACACGGCCATCGAGACGCTTGCCCTCGATAAGAAGTTAAGAAAGACATGGGAACTCGTTGGAGGTGGTCTCAGTCACCAACCAGCTGCATTGATCAAGGCATATCTATACACCAAACTCCGATGCCACTATGCCTTGTTGGGATCTATGCAGAAGTCCTTTGGCATCAGAGAAGAGCATCGTATTTCTAAGGAGCTATTCTACGCCATTGATAGCCGAATGCGCTCCCGAGAGCTCCACAACAAGCGCCTTGTCGTACCCACCGACGATAGTTCCCCATACTACAGTTTCACGACTGATACTTTGCTTCGATGGGTGCGGTCGAACATCAACAAGTTCTGTGTGGGGTTTGAGATGGTCTACAGCTTTCAGGACCCGCACTTTGTTACTTGGGAACACACAAGAATCATGCTCATGTTTCTTCGTTGCCTCCAATTCTCGTATTCAGGTGGGTTGATACAGAAAGTCGGCGGTTGCTGGCAAGACGTACGGCAGCAACCCGATCCACGCCAGCCAAACGGACTGCGCCGATACGAAGGTCTCGGGTTCAAGCGCACAATGGAGGTGTACGGCTATGCTTGGTTTCTTGATAAGATCGACTGGAATACGCTCACTTTCCGGCAACCCCATGCGGCCTATATGATGTTCAACAACCCATCAATGCAGACTGCTTACCACGCCCGATATCGTCAAGTTCGCGACGTTCGCATTGACTTCATTCGAGTTGACAAGGCTCGGCAATGGATGCAAGATTTCAGCGCAGTACCTAGTTGCCTAGAACTCTTAGAAAAGTACCTTCGACAGCTCTGTTTATGTGCTTTTCGAAAAGATGTATTCACGCACATCAAATCAGTTCTACGCCCAGAGCACATAGAGGCCGCGCTATCAGGAGAGGTTCCTCTCTGCTATGACAGCGTGGATAAAGTCTTAATTGAGCGGCATCGTCCGCCTCAGCTCGCATATGGGCATCGATTGGCGGTAAAGAATATTGATGTACTGTTTGCTTGGCTCTGGGAATGGAAAGATGGGCAGTTCGAACGAAAAGGGTGGAATGATAAGCCATATCGTATGCTGTACCAGCAGAGCTTCCGCGCTGTCACCACCGCACGAGGTAAAGACGGCGCTCGCAAGTGGCGGCAAGAGCTGAAGAATTCATTCATCAAAAGTCATTGGATGATCCCTTACCCACAGAGTCAGAGATTCATGCGTAAGGATAAAGAAACAAAGGAATTTGTCTGGTGGTCCAGCTTTCACTCTGGTCTCAACTGTTACTATGCACGACTGGAGAAGCTTGGGTCTCTTACTCAGCCCCTGCCAGCCTCTAATATCAAACATCATCCGAGCAATGGATGGACGCTAGCGTCAGGGTATTTCACTAATAGTCATATGCCATATGTTGTTCAAGCGGAGCAAAACTTGCTTCGCATGTCGGAGGATGAGTTGTATGCTAAGCTCGTTGACCTTCGAGAGCAGATGTCGGCGGATTCATTTCAGACCCCTGCAGTATCTACAACATCGATCGTGATAGAATTCAACATTTCATCATCCAATTACATTAGGGCTACTGATAAATGGTGCCCAAGACGGAGAGAATACGTTTCCAAGACATTTGAGGAAAGCGACTCGCCTGGTGAGTGTTCAATCTTTCTCAGGCAAGAGCTGGAGAAGTATGAGCTTCTCCAGCACCACCGACGCAATCTACGTCGGAGTCGTCGAAAGCGCGTGGATATTCGATCAAATGGCGATTCAGATTCAGATTCAGAATGTATTGATGATGGCGAGGCTACCTCAGATGAGGAAAGCCTTGGGGTGAAGCGACAACAGCAAGCACAAGTGGTCCGCCGTATCGAGACCCGAATGCGTGAACTCATCAAACAGCATAGAGAAAAGGAAAAGGATTGGCCAAAAGCGTATGACTATCTTCTGAAAGAGTTTAACCGCCGGCTAGAGAGAGTCGAGTGATGGTATTGTAAGTTTATTCAAAGGTATCTCAGGGAAGTAAGAGGTAGCTAGGCAGCTCTATAAAATAAGGTTCATTATTTTATAAGAAGGATAGGCAGCTCGTCAGCTATCAATACAACTGGATTACATCTATCGAGTACCCCTCTACTATTATCCGACGTGACCTTCTTTGGTCAGATATGCAAAGAACTAGAAGATGGAAGAGTATGCGATACTGAACGAAGAGCACCAGCTTCTGCTGTGTAGGATATGCCTAACCCTCGGTCCTGGGTTCGACTATGCGCATGTGCGATGGGTCATCCACGTCGGCGCCCCCAGCCAGATAACAGACTACTCACAGGAATCCGGTCGAGCTGGTCGAGACGGCAAACCCGCCGAATCCATCATCCTGCTCAACGCCGCCTGGCAGCCGCAGTTGGATCAGCCCCTCAGCGCCGATAGCGAGGCTATGCACTTGTATCTCATGCAGCGGCACTGTTCGCGCGGGGTCCTCAGCCAGTTCCTTGATGGGGAGTCCGACTGGCGGTGGTGTATGGAAGACGATGAGCTCTGTGGCGTCTGTCCCGAACACCACCGCGAACGCCGGCCACCCGGTCTGCAGTTCCATCTCCCCAAGCTTATCTGCAGCTCGAGCGCAGAGCCAGAAGAGGACGGAGATGCCGAAGCACGCCCTAGCGCCAGCGAAATGGTCTTCACTGGACCGAGGGAGGTTCTGCGCCAGGCTCGGGTCTGTGATGAGGAGCTGAGCCGGTATGAGAGCGACCTCCAGACGATGCTGGGCTGCTGTCTGTATTGTCGAGTGGAGGGGAAACCGTTCGAGCATACGGTGACGACCTGTGCCCGGCGTCACCACTGGATCAAGGCCAAGCAGAAGGCGCTGCGGGACTGTCAGAGCCGGGACCGGGACTGGCTGGAGCGATATATTGTCTGCTGGAACTGTTATCAGCCCCAGGAGATTTGCCGTGCAGCAGATCCGGACTACGATGGGGATCGTTCCTGCCGGTTCCCCGATATGGTGATGCCGCTGTGTTTCGGGGCCTTCAGTCGTCCCGGCCGGACGAAGTGGTTCTTAAAGCATTTCAACCAGACCTTCAAGACATGTCATGAGTATATGTTATGGCTTGGTACGACCTCCTCGCTGGGCGGCAGTAGGTGTGCGCAGGCGAACTGTGTAGCTGCACTTATATTAGCCGAGCTTGAATAGGGGAATCTAATTATTAGCAGAAAGGGACTAGATATAGTAGTTAAGATGGTGGTTTAATAATATAGATAGCTTTTCTACTAGGTATATCATTCTGTTGCTAATATAGCTAGCTAGATGCACTTAGGAATTAAACTCTAACCTTATACTGCAGGTGTAAGATATAACTTAAAGATATACTATATGTATATGTAAGAGAGAGAAAGAGAGAGAGGATAAGTGTGAACGGCCTCTAGTAACTGTATTCCAGCTATCTAGTCCAGGATGCTATTTACATCAAAGATGAAGAAGAAAGAAAGAAGTTCCTCAGTGCCCCTGAGCTGTGGAACGATTTCTCATCCCTGGCGCGCACGAGCCAAGTACGTCTTGCGGCACAGCCGCAAGGATATGGGCCCTGGCCCGTGACAATAAGGAGAAAAAAGGGAAAAAGAGAAAAAGGGGGAAAATAAATAGAAGGGGGAGTCCAGGGTAGGCAAAAAATATCATTGTGAAGAGCAAAAAAAGCTCTATACAGCCAGCTAGATGCACCCGGGATTCAGACCCAGATCATTTCCTTAGTCAGAGAAAAGCTCTATCCATTAAGCTAATACACCCTTTTCACCTTATTCTTACTAACCTCCATATAATACCTTCATATAAGGCTATTCCCACCGTTACACACCAGCCCAGTTATATACAAGCCGGCCAGTTACATACAGCCGACGGCATACCAATAGCACATAAGGCAGCCAGCTGCACCCGCCGTATAAAGCATGCCGGCATATATAATTGGATAGTATTCAGCTATATAGTCAGTCGGATAAGACTATGCCCAGTATCGAAATATAGGCCCGCCGCACTACACACCATATAAACCCAATAGTATATACAGTATAGTAGATAATAACAACGACGACAACGACGGTAATAATAATAACAATAACAACAACAATAATAATAATAATAACGACGATAACAGTGATAATCATAATAACGAAAAGAAAATACTGGATTAGAGAGAAAATACTGGGTTTAGTTGGAAATACTAAGTTGGGTAGGAATTACTACAGTTAATTATAAGCTTTAAATTATAGTAATTTATAGTAAAAGAATAATAAGGTAAATAAGATATAAGGTGGAAGTAGGTAGTGGAGAGTATTTGTAGTTGTATTAAATAATATAAAAGAGAAAGTAGAGAGTATAGTATCAAAAAGAAAAGTCGATACCAAAGCTTCCATTGAAACTCAATAAGAAGACAACCAGAGATAACATAGTTGTTATAGTATATAGAGAAGGAAGAAAAGAACACAGGCCTCCCTGAGACCATGTGCTGCGACATCTAGTAGATGTCAATTAAATTTAGGTGGGAAACCGAAACGCGCTAGCATGACATGGGGCAACTGTCAATTAACTCATAGAGCAGGTGGCAATTAGCTGTTTCCTAACCACCAGAGATCCAGTAGATCTGAAACTTGGTAAGGATACTAACCTCACGTATGCAATTCCAATTACATATTTATTTTCTCTTAATCTGTAGTATTCGTGGAGCTGTATTGCATCTTACTGTAACCCTATAGGTACTATTCGCCGGGGATTTGACTAAAATCGCACAAATCGGCATGTATGGTCCGTGCTTTGGAGTCATATCGCTTGGAGTTGGGCCGGGTCGTTGATTGGTCTAAATTTCCCACCCCCAGATTCGGGTTTAGCAAGGGTTCACTTGGGTTTAGGGTTACGCAGAAAAGGGGTTTGTGATCAAGAGGGAGGGAATCTGCGACTGCATTTGCGGCTTGGCCCATTAAAAAAAAAAACTTGAGAAATCAGCTTGAATCGAAGTTATAAGCTATGGACGACGTTGCGCAACTCAACGAGGAGCACCGGATGCTTATTTGCCGGGATTGCCGAGCAGCAGTTCGGCCCGGCGCCGGTATCGAGTCGCATTTCCGGCATGAGCATCAACTGACAGGACAGACGCTGAAAGACATCAAAGACTACTTCGGTGTTATGGATTTGGCTGATCCGAAACTTGTTCAACTACCCGATGATGGCAGCGCGGCAATTAAACTGCTCGATGTACTATACGGATACAGCTGCGCCGAATGCAGGTATCTCACGACGGCACGGGACAATATCACCCGCCACTGGAGAGAGGCAGGCCACGACGGTGCAGGGAATCGATGGACCGAAGTTCGATTGCAAACTTGGATGCGCAGAAAGCATGCGCGGTACTGGATCGTCGAGGACAGCAGCACAGGGAGGTCGGCACTCACACGGGAAGCAGCGGCCACGTCGAGCCGCGGCGAGAGTGCCATGCAGCACATGATTGCCAAGTACGTGGACGCGTTCAGCAAAGACGACGCCGAGCGGCTTCGGAAAGGCGATGTTGAGGAAGGGCTGGATCGCGATTCAGCATGGGTAAAGCGGCTCGGATGGGTGCGGCACTTTGGATCGAGAGATAAGCTTGGTATATTCGCAGCTGCCGAGTGGGTGAAGGCGAAGGCAGCAGCAACTGGACAGCAGCAGCGGCCGAGGCAAGGGGCCCGTCAGAAAGACGAGGTGGCAGCTCGAGAGCAGCAGTCACTACTGTGACTTGGCGAGAGCTTCGATCGAGAAGTGGAGCGTTGTAGCTGGCGGCTCGACAGCGTGCCGGTGGAAACGCTGCAGTGGCTGGGCAGTGTTTCGGCCACCACGCCGCAGGGGGTGCCGTTCGGGCTCAAGGGAAAGGCGTCGTCGATGGCCAAGTACCGCAGCGTCGGACAGCGCTACTTGGGCTTTTGCTTGCGCGCATACTGGCTCGGGCGCGACGAGGCGTTCAAGCAGTGGGCGGTCCGCTTCACAGATGAGCAGTGGAGCTTACTACTCGACGTAGCCCACGAGCTAGGCGGTAGAGAAGCAATGCCAAGCAGTCACGATAGCGGGTTTGGCAGTAGCACACAGCAGCACCACAGGAGCAAGAGCCCGGGGGTTCACGACGAAGACGAAGATGAAGAAGAAGGTAGTAGCAGCAGCGATGACGACGACGACGACGACGACGACGATAATGATAATAAGAAGAAGAACAACGGCACCAAGGCAGCCCGTAGGAACTGCAGTTACAGCCACCAAATGCAGGTCCCAGAGGCCGGTGCCGACGACGCTGCGCTGGATCGGGCTGTATTTTTATTTATAGTGGCTTCTATCAAGCAGCAGGTCGGAGGCAATGTATACACGAGCCCGCTGCTATGCTTTTGTGCCGCGATGGGCATACGGCAACGCCCGCTCGGCTACAATGAGCCGCACTTGTATACCGGCATGCTCGCTGCCATACTGTGGTGGGCCCGGGTCTTTTTCATCGAGTCGGTGTTCGAGAGCGAGCCGCAGGACACGGACGAGGTCGGCGTCGACGCGGTGCTTGCGTTCCAGAAGGAACATGCCGCGTGGATGTGCATCGGCACGCACACGGTGATGAGCACCTAGTGCTTCATACCAAAATCAATTCTAGTAGAATTGATTTATTTTGCCCCACACTACGGTTGACTGTAGCTCTGACCAATGGATGATGCCTTGACCCATAAAAACGCTATCGCAGCGCCCGGGCGCCGATTCTATTGCGGCGCCTGGGCGCCGTTCCAGTGGGAGCCACCGCCTATTACCTCAGGCCCCCACTTTTAGTCGACAGACATACACTGAAGCTCTCAGGAGTTATAGGGTGCAACGTAGGATGTGACCAGAAGACATTGAATTGAGCTACTTCCTATATCTAAGAGAGCGACGAAGGTCGGTCTCTTATACCTATGTTCAATCTGTCAATATCATAGGCAGCAGGCTGCTGCCTGATACTAGTTGTGGTCGTTCACTCTCATCGTGATCCTTGCCTCATTTCTATCCTCAGTCCAACAGAAGCAATCACAATAGGGGCAACGGGGAAAAACATAGAGAATACACACGATCAAGTCATCTGAAGTGCCACGCGAGCTTTCCGACACGTCCGAGCCTTGAGTGTGAGCGCCTATTTAGCAGCGCCAAGCTCCTCCTTACGGATCGTCGTTCACGACTTCGGATGGACATAATCGAAGCTAGCGAGTGCCAGTGTGAGAAATAGGCGGTTCAGTCCAGTCCAGACACCCTGGACTGGACCGCCTATGTAACAGGAAGCACTGGACTGGACCGCCTGCCTTAATTGGACTGGTACCAAGGTAGGACCAAAACTTGGTATGGCGATGAAGTTTCGGTGTTGTTGTGCCTAGGGTTGCCTCGAGGTAAATTACTAGGAGGTAAATTACTAAAACCCCTAGGTAAATGACGGTCATAAACTCGACGTTTATGACCGTCATTTATCACGTGCTTCCAAGCACTATTTGGTGACTACGGAAAGGCGTCGGCGGAATGATATACGCACATACAGTCCGGTGCATTGCTATTCGTCGGGGATGAGGTACCGATCACACCAAAATTTGCTGTGCCGGGTACAATAGGTCCATACCCACTGCAACAGCCCCGCGTTCGTTTCTTCGCCAAAACTCCCAGATTTGCTCCTTCAATATGATAGTATCATATATCTCGAAAGTCAACCTATTTACATTTCGACGTGAATAACAGACTCTGCCTCTGCGTCCGTGCCTGCAGCTACAAAAATGCAGTCCTGGAAGTCGTCCTCGAGCTCGAAGAGCTTTTTCACGTCAGCCGAAGTTTCCTCAGGGGTCGCAACAACTCATGGTCGTCCCCTGCTCCAACCCCTTTTGGGATACTCACTAAACCCAGTTAGGAAGGAGGTTTATGACGGTAAATTACCCGTCAGTTGGGGTTTATGACGTCAAAAAGGCATCCCTAGTTGTGCCTAGTTATGCTTCAGCAGCTACTTGCGCAGGCAGCCTGCCATACGGCCAAGTTTTTACTTTGCAATGTCTGCTTTATAGATTTCGAAGGTATGTAGGCTGGTCAAATAATCGTATTTTCCACCAAGCTCAACCAATGAGATTGCACTATTTACTCACCTAACAATATGGGCCTTAAATGGGCGGTCCAGGCGGTCCAATGACCTTGGACTGGACCACCTGGTCCAGCAATTTTTGCTGGACTGGACTGGACTGAATAGGCGGTCTAGTCCAAGAGCCCATTATGGACCGCCTATCTCCCACACTGGCGAGTGCCTACGGGCTTGGTATGGACGCCCGGAGCGGAAGGCTTTTCATAACTCTAAAATCGGCTTGATGGAAAACGAGGCAGGAGGTGAAGTTGGGGTAGGTGGGCGGGGGGCAGAAGGGGAAGAAGACGGCGGTGGAGATGACGGTAGTGAGGAGTCAAATATATTGGAAAAGCAAGCTGCTGGCGAGCATGATGGGCTCTGTATTTAACAGCTATCATGGGATCTAGTTCTACATCACATCTACTCGAGGCTCATTCAGCGGCTTACTAATTTCCAAAAAGGGCAATAATATGATCTGGATCCGTACTGGATATCCAGGAGGCAGTACGTCTTCCCCTCTGGACTGGATTGGAGCGACCCTCGGATCCAGCTCCAATCCAATCCAATAAGATCACTGCTACCACCAGCGGAACAGGACACGATCTTGCGGGCACACCCCCCGGAGGGTCCCTCTCTCGCTCATACTTGGCTTGTGCTGCAATGCGAATC